TATGCACGATCTGAAGGGACCTCTGGGTCGGCCTTTCTCTGCACCTCTGTTTTGACTGTGCCTGCATCTCATGCTGAAGTCAGGTGTGAAATTTTCTACTGATGACATCATATAGGAGCTCAAAAACTTTCAGATTTTGGACGCCTTCGTGTTGGAGATATTCAGAATTAAGGATAATGAGAGTGTGTATGCTGCATAGACTGATAAATGTAAGCGTTGTGAAGAAACTTAGCTGCAAATGACTTCCCGATCTCACCTTTTAGCACGGAACGTGACACACACAGGCCTTCCCTAGGGTTTTTCTTAAAGTGCCATCTAGCCCCTGGTGACAAGCAAGGGCCTTTGGGTGTGTTCTTGTCTTGTCCTATGTGTTCTTCCCTCACCATTGTCCCAAGACAATGTGCGGACCTGAGTCTAGTGACAGTACCCTCCCTTCACTTCTCCACTGAGACTGTCTGTTCCGTTGTGTCTCAGCTGTTCCTTTTATAAATAAACTAGGGGTCCTCCTACATCATTTTCATTAGGAACTTCCTGTCCACCTCCATCCTCCCAGACTTACTCATTGTTACTGCCGTTTTTATCTTTTGGGGTGCGGCTTCCTGTCTTCCCCACTGGACTGTGACCATTCTTTCCCCTGAGGCAATCAAATCTAGGGCCTTATAGCCATTCCAGGTACACACCTAACTACTGAGCTATATCTGTTGACTTTTACTTTTATGACAAGGTCTCCCTGGGTAGCCTAGGGTGACCTTGAATTCAGGGATTCTCTTGCTTCCACCAACAAATACTGGGATTATAGGCATGAGCACTAGGTAGTCATGAGTGATCCACTTTTATCCTGGACAGATATCTGACACTAATAAGTGCTTGGCATAAAACTGTTAAAAGATTGAGCAAAGCCACTGCCAAGTTTTTTAACTGATATATTGGACATACTTACCTGTGGAAGTGTTAAAAATGATGCCCTGAAGAAAATTTGTTGTGAATAAATATGTTCTCACTCCTTTGCTCAGGTTGTAATGAACTTAAACTCATAGGCTCACAAGCCCTCTGCCTCCCATGTAGCAGAAAGTAGAGGTATATATCACCATTTCTGGCTTAAAAGAAAAAAAAAAAACAACTTTATTTATTTATTTTGGGTTTTCAAGATGGGGTTTCTCTGTGTAGTCCTGGTTACGTTAGGACTCACTCTGTTGAGTAGGCTGACCTGGAACTCACAAAGGCTGCCTGCCTTTGATGGGATGAAAGGCATATGCCACCACTCGGCTAAGAAAAATCTTTAAATGTAACATTTATTACTAAGAAGATTTTATTAATGTGAAAGAAGTCAGGAAAGTTGGAACTTTATAAGTAAGGATACATATTTCACAGCACAGTAATGGAAGCAGAATTCCAAAATTCCATATTGGAATAAGCCACCAAGATTATTGGAGATTAGTGATTTAACCATTCAGCCATCACAGTTCAACCAGGATTTTTCATCCAGTGTTGCAGCAAAGGGGTTTGTTTGTTTTGTTTTGTTTTAGCTTTTTTTTTTTTTTTTTTTTTTTTTTTTTTCTTTTTTTTTTTTTTTTTCTTTTTTTTTTTTTTTTTGTGTGTGTGTGTGTGTGTGTGTGTGTGTGTGTGTGTAGGTGTACATGTTCTGTGTGTGGAGGCCAGAGGCCAATGTTGTATGTCTTCTACAATCACTTTTCACCTTACTTTTTCTGAGATAGATCTCCCACTGAACCAGAAGTAGCCTGGTTGGTCTGCAAGCCCCAAGGATCCTTTGTCTCTGCTTCCCCAGTGTTGAGATTATAGTGTCCACTGCTACACTTGCCCTTTTTACAGGGGAACTAGGGGATTGAACCCATGTCTTCATGCTCGTGCAGCAAGCACTTTACTGACTAAGCCAGCTCTCTAACCTGAAAACTTTTTGAGAATTAGCATTTGTAGGTATTAGAAAAAGGTGCCATATGGGTATAAACCACAGGTGGTGGGTGGGACAGTCATTCCAGGAGCTGACAGTTTAACTCTGATACAGTAGAAAAGTAGCTGCTTGCCACCAAGCCTGACAATCTGAGTTTGATTCTTGGGACCCTATGGTAGAAGGCAAGAACCAACTCCTTCCTGCACATTGTCCCGTGACCTACACTCACGCATGCACAAGCACGCACATGCATGTGCATGAACACACCACACACGCAAACACAAATACAAATTCAAAAGTAAGTGTAATTCCTTATTAAGCGTGAGGCTGCTTTGTTGATTCTGAGATTTTTATTTGTGTATTTAACAAACACAAATACTTACCATATACCAAGAACTATTACACAGAATCTATCAAAAAAAATTCTTAGGTTCTGATATTAACCCTGCCATAGTAGTGCTGTCCTTCCTTCCACTGTACCGCTGACCTAACCAAAGCCTGAATGTCTCATTGAGTGAGCTGCTCCTGTCCTGGGACAGGAGGTTGGTGGTTGCAGAATTGAGGTCTTCACTCTTGTGCTATTCGGTTAAGTTCAGAGTCTAAGATATCCCAGCTGTTTTGCTGATGCTGCTGTTAATACAGCTGTCTACAGCTGGAATAGGAAGTTCCATTAGAATCATGTATTTCCTGTTGAATGTCTAAACCAAGCAACTTCAAAATACTAGATACTTGCTTAAATAAATCATGGCGGGAAGACATGCAACTTATATGGTAGACACACGTCCCTGTTCTTAGGCTGATACATAAGAGGTAAAGGGCAAGATGGCGTTATTATTTGGGGAATGCCTTATAATAAATAAAACTTGATGGTTAATAAAATGTGTAATGCCAAAACACAACAGTGTGTTAACAGTTGACAAACCTAATAATTTATCTGGTTTATTTCTGAAGAGGATGAAGTGCCCCTGGCTCCGGACTGGAAGCCTGTCTCTTGGCCCTGAGTTTACCATTGTCTGATGTGTAACAAATAGGGGTTTATCTTCCCTAACTGTGACTACTTACCAACTAGGCAGTCTGGAGAGAGAAGGAAATGGCTCCATTCTTGCTGCAGTTCATTTTCTAAGAAGGGAAAGAGTACTTGTTTAACTAATCTTGTTGGGACGGGTTGGAGATTTGTTGTCCCCCTCCCCCACCTGTTTTGAAAATGAGAGCCAGTGGGATTTACCTTTGACTTTTGTTTATTGACATTTTCTCTTCAAGTACTTAGACCTCATTATTTTAGTGAGGACCACCCCAACTTGTTTAAAATCCACCCAGGTCCGTCCACCTCCCTTCCCATCCTCTGTTGTCTACATTGCCCAACTTTTCTTTGCCCACTGAATTTAGCACTCTCTGATCTGCCATATGATTGTTTTTTGCCTGATGAGAGAGGCGCATAGTAGGCTCTTAATACTTACCTATTTAGTGAATGTATCTGTGTCTGCATGCCGTTAGAGTGTACACAAAAAGCTCTGTGTTGTACAGCATCGAGTGTATTCAAGGTTTGCGCTCCTGAACAGTTGGAAAGCTGTCTCTGAACTTCAAAGTGACATTGAACTTGGAAAACTTGTAGATGGTGAATAGGATTGCTTCTTTATGGTACTCTATCTGTCTGTAATGCAATGCACAGAGCAAGGTCTCAGTCACTGGTAAGTCTGGAGAGGGACTTTGCTCTCAGTGAAAGACAGTTTGCAATTTGAATTGACAATTAACATCTTGGTTGTTACTCAATTGCCATCTAGCACTTTGGTGATTTTTTAAGTGAAGCTTTTGGTGTTCAAAAAGGGTGGCTAAAAGCATGAGGTGCCATCATCCCCAAGCTTTCCCTAGGGGGAGCCCCTTCTATAAACTGCTAGTCTTTCACTTAAGAGCCTTTGTTATAAAGCAAATGTTTTGAATTAGGGGATTATTACATTTTTCCATGAGTTACAAGGCTGGCCCCAAGCTATGAACTAAGAGGTCCCTTAAACAGCTCCACAGACCGTTCTGTGTGCAGGAGGGTGAGATGGGAGGTGTTTTTCCTGTGTTCCCCTCCAGTTCCTGATCTCTTGTCTTCAGTTTTTCACATCTATCTCTTTCCCATTGGGTTGCATTTTTCTAACTGTGCCTTGATTTCCCTCCAGTTACATTTGTTTTTCCTCAGTCCAGAACTTAGCACATTTGAGCTAAAGAGTATTTCAGTTAATGTTTATTTAAAACTACTACCCAGTAAAGCTGTGGTAGAACTGCTAGAACCAGGCTGTTAGGTAATTACTGCATTTAAAAGAGATTAAAGTGATTCGGGTAATGTATCTAATTTCTTCATTGGAGTGGGGAATTTAAGGGGTTTTGTTTGCTTTTTTAAGAGTTGTGCCGGCTAGATGCAAATGAGATTACACTTCCTGAGACTTTGTGCTGAGTGTAGTTAACTAGCAGGGGGTGAGAAGACAGGGCACCCTCATTTGCATAAAATGCCACTAAGTCATCTCGCAAAGCTCCCTGGTGTTTCTTTTCTAGAGCCATACTGCTTATGGAAGTTCTCTTGGTCTGGGAGGCAGAGCCTGGGGGCGTGGTTATGAAACAAAGGTTGGTTCATTTCCCCTATATCAGTTCACATCCCTTACTCCCACAGTGGGCTGAAAAGTCACAGACTCAACATGGAGTTATGTTCAGACTTACTGGATCCTGTAAAAACAAACAAACAAACAAACAACGGATCTGGATGTACACGGTGGCCTCATGAAAACTCAGGACCTATTTGTTTCATCGTGATGTGACTTCCAGAGAACAAAACCTGCCGTCTATTTGTGGACGATGTGTGAGGAGGAAATGGAATGAATGGACAGCCAGGCAGAGAGCCTGATACAGTGCTTATGCAAATGAAGACTGTGATTGGCTTTCCCTTTCCTGTTGTCACCGGCTGCTTCTAGCCTTTACAGATCAGGTTTCAGTGGGAGTTTTTCTGGTTCAAGGACTGCTAATGGTTTGTAACCACCTGACTATAAACTTGACCTCAGAGTTACAGCAGCTCAGGGAGACAGATGTTGAAGGACTGCAACCTGATGAGGAAAGTTAGAATCTGGGGCTGTGCCACCGACCTACGGGGCCCAGCTTTTAAAGTGACTTTGAATTCCGAACCTATGTAGGTGCTGCAGAAAGAAAATGGTGGTCTTCATGAACGCAAAGATTAAATCTTTCTTTAAACGTTTCAAGAAGAAAAGTAAGTTCTGGGGAGAAAGAGAGTGCTCTCTCTCTGTGTGTGTGTGTGTGTGTGTGTGTGTGTGCGCGCGCGTGCCTTTCTGAGTGCTGAAATCACAGTAAACATAATAGCCTTGAATTAATCTCCACTGTATACCAGGTCACTGCAACCCCTTGGACAGTATTATGTGACCTTATTCTGTCTTATTTATTTATGTTTGGGGTTTTAAGTGACTTCATTTCTTTTATACTTCTCAAAAGAAGTCCTTCCAGGAAGGAAGGACTTGATATACAGTGTGTGGTTTCTGGGTATTCAGCTGACTGAGTGGCTGAGGTAAAGAGTCATGTGTAATGTGTCACATAGTTGTGGTGGGGATGATCCTCTAAAGCCCCTTGGTACTCTCTGTTATGTATTACAGAGCCGGAGGACAAACTGTCTAGACGGATCAGTGACTGTCGTAAAGCAGTGAGCTTTTGTGTTGTGGCTTCATTGTGTACTTCCTGTCAGTTTAAATTTCCTTAATCTCGGTGCTTCTTCATTCCCGTGAAAATTTAATTTTCCAGTGACATGGATTTTTTTTTTCTATTAACTTATTTCAGTGTGGCTTTGTGTTGCCTTTTTGATCAGTGACATGACCTGGATAAATGTGTGGCTGGGGGTGGAGTGGGGTGAGGAGGTGTCTCTGCTAACAGATATTGGAGAACTCGACAAAGGACAGCACTGCACTCCGGGCTCATTTTCTGCATCTCTCTAGCTAGAAGCCTGTCTGTGGAGGGACTGATACAAATCTCCCCTTGGCAGGAGGCAGGTAGAGCAGGGAAGAGGCAAGGGCTCTTTCAGAGGAGCCGGTTTGTGTCTGTGCCCCGGGGCTGCTGGTACAATTACAGGGGCTCAGATGCCATCACTTGGATTTGATTTGCAATGAGCCAAGAGGGAAAGTTTCCATTTTCTGTATAAGGCAATTAAAATTTAAAAATAAATAGGCATTAGCAAAAACCATTGTAATGAATTCTGTGTGTACTTTGAGGGGCCTCTGGCTGCTTGGAGCTGTGTTCCTCTCTGAACCATACAGCAGAATGAAGTTCACGCTTTAGGATTTCATATATTAAGGCTGATGGTGTTATGAGCCATGCAGGACACTGTCCCTTATGTAAAATAGCAGGGGCCTAGTTTATATATGGCCCTTGTCAAACATTGTAATCAGAAAACAGCATTTCTGGTTTTAACTTTATGTCTAGTTCTAAGCTTTTATTACCATCGAGCAATTTATGGAGAAAGTAGCTCCTTAGTTCTTCTCAGATCTATAGACTTTTAAAATGTGGTAGCTATAGGAAAAATAACTAGTAGGGTGGGTGACAGGTATGTGGGAGCCAGGCTGAGGAAGGCACAGTTCTCCCATGGGAATAGTTCTGGGGGCTTGCTCAGGATTCCTTGTCTCTGCCCTAGTCTTGTTTTACACAGGTTATTTCATGAGCGACCTTAGCCCATTTAGGCTCTACTGTAGTCCTAGGTCCTGTGCTGTGGGGTATGTTTAGTTAACTTTAAATACATTCTGACAGAATCATTAGTCCATTTTGTTTTTCATGTTCCTTTGAGATTGTGTTTTATGATCTAGTTCCCAGGCATACGTTCTGTTGTTCTGGGCAACTGCCTGTTGTAGGGCACGGTCAGGGTAGACTTACTTCTGACTCACAGTCCTAACGTCTGCTGGCTTTACATGAGTTAGATTTACCACCTTGGGTAGATGCCCAGGCTGGAGGGTTCCTTTTACATATGTCTAGTCTTTTCTGTGCATGAGTATGTGGCAGACATGTAGACATTATTAACTCTTTGCTGCTGAATGTGTCCCACTAATACTCCAGCATAGCTTGTGTTGCTGGGAAATATGGAATAAAAGAGAGCTCAAGCCCTAGTAGGCGTGTAAGAAAATATCTTAGAGATTCATCTTAGGCTCAGTGTGTCTGTTATTTGCTTCCCACCAAGGCTTTGGACTTGTTTGGTATTGGAAAAATTGAATTGAATTAGTTTGTGTTGGATAAAGTCAATTGCATTGGACATTTAAAAAATTACTATGGAAGTATCCCGTGAAAGCATATGTGAGAGAATTTGATAGTGCAGATGGTGTTCAAACCGAATACACTAAGTTTAAAATTTTTTGCTTGTGCTAGTAACAGTGGTGGTTTAAGTTATGCAGTAGAAGAGAGATGTTTGGTCCCAACCTCATGGTGGGGAATTTGTTTCCGGTTTGTTTACTGTTGCAGCAGCATTGTACAGTTGGAAAACTTGGGTTTGCGGTGTGTGGGTAGGGAGGAATGGGAGCTCTCTGTTGATTTTGTCCATCATTCTTCTTACACAGGATCTGGAGGAGGAACTATGGTTTTGGGAAGCAGGGAGCTGAGCAAACACGTCTATGAACATACTGTGTGGTAGATGGACAATTGGCGCTTTTTCTTACAGATGCAGCCCAGTGGACTGACAAGACCACTGGAGGCTGAGATGAAATTCCACTAGAGTTAGTTCCCTTGTTCCTGGCAGGTTCTTACCTGTGGGTGTGTTAAATACCACAGTCTTATCTTTCTCTTGGGGTTTTGAAACAGGGTCTCACTCAGTATATTCCAGGCTGGCCTGGAACCCACTATGTAATTTAGACTGGCGTCGGACTTTTGACAGTCCTCCTGCCTCAGCCTCCTCAATGGTTGGGGCTAAAGGCGTGAGCGTATAACCGGTGACTGAGACCTTATCTTAATGTAACAAATTCAGGGTCAACAGCTGACATGTGTATCTGTTCCTTTTCTCTGTAGCGGTTTCCAACCTAGACGAGGAGAGTCGATGGACTGTCCACTACACAGCGCCATGGCATCAGCAGGAGAATGTTTTTCTTCCCACCACGAGACCCCCCTGTGTTGAGGACCTGCACCGCCAAGCAAAGCTCAACCTCAAATCAGTGCTGAGGGGTAAGGCAGCCATCTCTCTGGCTTGTTTGGCTTAATTGCTAATGGTTAAGAAATGACAGCATCTATTTAATCACGGTCTGTAAAAGAAGAGTCATGGACTCTGAATGTCCATGACTTGGTCCCTTTTTACTGAGTGCACATTTGCCTTCAAAGAAGCCAGTGCTGCTTAGAAACCCCTCTGAATGTGTAAATCACCAACATTAATCTAATCCAAATAAAGTAAACTTGTGCTGACTTGGGTGGGGGCATGTTGCCATTGCTCTTCAAAGCTGTTTTATGTATTGAAAGCAAATTTGTTAAAGCTAGTGCTTTTGAATGGTTTGCTCTGCGTTGCTCACATCAGAAAGTGGAGTGTGTGTGTGTGTGTGTGGGGGGGTGTTATAAGTAGACTTTGATGTGATGCTAAATAGTTGAGGTATCAGGATTTGGGTAATGCCCAGCAGGACTCTTCTGACCATGCATTCTATTGGTAGTGGCTACTAGGAAGTATAGGAGGCATGAATTCCTACAGCTAGTGCAAGACTTTTACTGTCACTAATTGTTGATGTTGAAAACAGTAAACGAGCAGTGAAAGGATCTTTGCAAAGATGAGTGGGAGGCCAGGGGATTTTTTCAAGGAAAAGGATTCCCTTTGGAAAATAGAGACTTTGTAATAAAACAGCACGCCAGAATTCTTAGCCTATGGTGGAGTGTGCCTATCAGATCTCTCTTACATTTGGAACATAAATAAATAAACCAAAGAAGTATTTGTGGTTTACTTGAAATTTAGTGAAACTGAAATTTTCTGTTATCCACTGTGGAGGACTTGAGTCTTGAACACTTCGGTCATTGATTCAAGGAGAAAGCACCGTGAGGAGCCTCTGGCTTTATAAGAATTTTTACTGATGTATCAGTCATTTACAAAGTGATTTATTATTTAATGCCTTAGCACAATGATACTAGTGCATGCCTATTAAACAGTTTATTACAATACCAGGAACTAGTCCAAGCTCACTGAATGTCTCATCTCATTTAATCTTCAGAGTTACCCTACAGTTGCTCTCACTGCATCTAGATGAAGGAGTAATTCACAAAGGCAAACTTGCCTGTCACTTCAAAGTTACTTGCAACAATCAGGACTTAAACGTGACCTCCTAAGGCCACGGGCCTCATATTGCTCTACTTTAATAGCTATTTGAATTTATACTTTGTAGTACAAATCACACCCTGAAAAATACCCAGGAAATATGCCAAAAACTGCTCTATGGGGAATGGAAAAACAAAAAACAAAACAAAACAAAACAACAACAAAAACCCAGATAATTTCTTCTTGGAAACAGATAATAATCAATAGATTTTCCATAAAATTATTGCTTTTTTGTCTTCCTTTAATTACTTTTGCATCCATCATCTATATGTGTGTCTATCAATCTATATCTACTTACCTGCCTACCTACATATATACATATGTGTGCCACAGCAAATAAGTGTATATCAGAGGGCAACTTGCTCATTTGTGGTAGTCAGTACTTCCCTTTCGCCATTTGGGTCTTAGGGAGCAAACTCAGGTCCTAAGGTTTAGTAACAAACACCTTTCCCTGCTGAACCATCTTGCCACTCCCTCGACCCTTTAATTTTTATAATGTGTAGCTTATCTTGTTTATGTCAGAGTACCTTGTTTTAGACTCTAAAACATAGGGCATTATCAGGTTCTCTTTTTCATTAAGCCAGAGTAACTTAGATGTTAAATGACTTCGATGTTAAAGGAGAAGAGCTGTTCATTTTGTTCATTTATATGGCCTTGCAGTTGTACTTTGAGCTTCATCAACTTCATGACACTGATTGCTCTGTGTACTTGAACCCAACCATTCAGTCCCCAGTGGTTCCTCTCTAGTCAACTTCAGCAGGCAACAACTCTACTTACATAGCTCTCCTGCCTCCACCAGATAATTAATGAGAAAGTGGCATGGTTCCCAGGACAAATCCTTGAGGCACTGCCTCTCTCACATGGCTCTGCCCAGCTCTGGAGTAGTCAAGCAGTGGCATGGGCTGGCTTGTAGAAAGCTCCTCCGTGAAGGTATGCGTGAGTCTGGGTATTCAGGCCCTCCTGCTTTTTGATCACTCTCCAGGAAACTGTGCCTCACTCTGGAGTTCATGTATTTTCAAGTCCCACATCAAGGGCTTTCCTTACCGTAGAAGACTGAGCATCTGTCTATGGATTCTTCAGTCCCCCACCAGAGATGTCACCACCACCAGTTCCCTCAAAACTTGAATATTATTTTGAAAAGATAATTTCGAGATAGTTTTTGAAATTGCTTTGGTACCCTCAACAATTTCATCAAAGAGATATTCCAGTCATAACATTAATAACTTTGGGAAAGTTCTGAGACTAAAGTCTGGATCTTCAAACTTATTTTTTGAGGTTTTAAACATGATTTTGTAAACTGCTGATGGATAGGATGCGACTGGAAAGAACTTCTGAATTCTTTTCTGTTCAGTATGTACTTCTGATCACTTGATTCACACAGAACTTCATGCCCTTCCCCCCCCCCCCCCCCCCACCCCCTCCATACACACAACCATAAAAGAATCAGGATAGTGGGGAACACTAGTGATGTCCCTGAGTATTTCCACATATACTGTTAAGATTTGACATTGTATGAGTTATCACTTGAAGTTAATTCTCCCTGAACATTTTTTGCTCAAAAATTTAGAGAAGTAATTATCTGTAGTGTACAATCTATTTTGTTCATCCTCCTAATTTCACAGTGACCTTGTCTTTAATCTTAAAGGAGTTTCCAACATTTCTTTTTTGCTAAATGGGCAAGTGCTGTCTTGTTATCACTCAAGTACTCTTGTGAATTATTCCATCACTCTTTACAGGAGCGAAAGGTAGGCTTGCCTAGTTTTAAGGACTACAAATGGAAATGGTGAGTACTAATAGAGTAACAAATAAACACTAAGTGTAGACTTCTTAAAGTGACACGGTAGTGCTTAGTGGTCACTCTGGTGACTGAGGAAGGCACAGTTTATTGGAAAGTGTGCTATGCAAAATGTTAGATTTAAGTTGATGCCCAAGGGCAGGACATAGACACCATTAATTGATATTTGAGCATTAGTTTTGTACTTACTAGTTTGCTTGCTTGTCTGTTTACTTAATTTTTTAGACAGCATCTTGCTCTGCTGCCCGGGCTGTCCTGGCATGTTTACTCCTTCAGCTATAGCCTGCCCAGTGCTGGGATCATAAAACTGTGCCACCATGCCCAGCTCTATGCCAGGAGTGAACTGAAGTTTGAGGGTCTCCAGCATTAGGGGCTCAGTTTGCTGTCCTAACTACCCAGGCTGCTGTGTTGGTGAAGTATGGCAGGTGCACAGGGAAATCTGGGAAAGAAAAGCACCAGGAGACCCTGTCTCCTAATCTCCTTCACTCTCCCGGGTGGTCTCTTGCTCTCACACTGCAAGGAGATTGGCCTTTCTAGATGTCCAACATGCATGTTGCATACCCAGAAGCAGGTGATCCCTGGACTGTTTCACTGTACTGGAAATTTAACAGAGATCTGTTTTGCTGTGTTTTCTTGTCCCACCAGGTCCTGCCACCCTTCTCAGCCCCAAGTAAGCACACACAGAATCTATATTAATTATAAAACTGTTGGCCGATGGCTAGGGCTTCTTATTGGCTAGCATATTGACCCATTTCTGTCAATCTTAGTATTTCCATGTGGTCTTATCTTACCAGAGAACACCTGGCCAGTCCTATCTTCCCAGTCTCTACATGGAGTCTCTCTGTAGTCTCTTTCTGCCTTCCTTTCCCAGAATTCTCATCTCCTAGTCCCGCCTACCTAAACAGTGTTTTATTCACCAACCAATAAGAGAAATTCCCCATCAGAGATCATTTGTATTTATCTCTGGCCAGCTTGATGAAACAGTGGCCACATTTTTAGATCAAATATTGGTTTTGGTGACATGTCACTAATGATTTAGGTCATGATTTAGTACCATTGAAGATACATGTGTGGTAGTTTGAAAGCAAATGGCTGCCAGAGGGAGTGGCATTATTAAGAGGTATGGCCTTGTTGGAGTAGGTGTGGATTTGTTGGAGGAAGTGTGTCACTGTGGGGGTAGGCTTTGAGGTCTCTTTTCTCAGGCTTCATTCAGTGTGACAGTCAGTTGACTTCCGGTTGCCTGAAAGATGTATCAGTCTCAGCTCCAGCAACACCTCTGCCTGCACGCCACCATGCTCCCCTTCATGGTGATAATGGACTGAACCTCTGAACTCTGAGCGAGCCCCCTCAATTAAATGTTTTCTTTGGAGGCTAGGAGAGGGTGTTAGATTCCCTGGAGCTGGAGTTACAGACTGTTATAAGTCATTATGTGGGTGCTGGGAACAGATCTGTGGAGCCATCTTTCCAGCTCCTTGTTGTTTGGTTTATCAAGACATCTAGCTTACAGAGAAGAGTGAGGTTTTGACGACAGCTCTTTTATCAATGAAGAATTCACTTAACATTGCACTGAATTTCCAGAAAGTTCTACTCCTTTATCTTTGTAGCTACACGAACCTTCGTGATGCTGCTGGAGACAGCTTTGATGAAAGATATCCGCTTTATAACCACATTTCATCTGCACAGCTTTTAGCTTTCTAGAAAGTGTCCCAGTTGAGTGGGAAGGGGGAAATAAGAAGCTAGGGATTGGTACCAAGAGAGGGTCCTTGTTTGTTTCTCTAGAGTTTGCAGACTTCATTTGACAATAATGAGCATATTAAAGACTGAAATAAAGACATCATGTTTAAGTCTCCAAAAAGCTCAACTTAAGGAGAGATAAATATGGTTTCTCACAGTATGCTTAACAGACAGTTTAGTCACTGTATCTGTGTACACTGCTGCCTGAATTAGTTCACAGAGCATCTGCTGTTGGTATCAGGAATGTTCTTGTAGTCACAGTTCCTTGCTGAGAAATACATTTTAGCAGGTCAGCTTGCTCTGTGGCTACAGGTACAGGCTCGCACTTCTACCAGGTACAGAAGT